CTTCCTGCAGCTCAGCAGCTGGAGATGCTCCTGCTCAGGATGAGGCAGCCAGGGTGAACGTGGTGAAATCCCTGGGGCTGTGGGAGACACGTTTGGAGATACGTGTCAAAGGCACCAGAGCCCATGGTGGTGGGTGCAGAGGTGGAGACACCTGGGGCACTGCAAGGGACTGCTGCCAGTCAGCAGCGAGGCTACAAAGTGGCTGCTGCGATGCCGGCAGCGCGAGGTGGGACTTCAGGGGCAGGAGCAGGAGCTAAGCCTAAGCCCAACTGAGGTGGGAGGATGCCAGGACATCCCAGGTCTGGCCTTGCTTCATGTCTTCTTGCTGCATGCTCCTCCACACGAGTGGCAGGAGGTGTGTGTATGGCAGGTCATATCTCTGCCAGCTTCTGCCCCACTCTGGCAGTCACGTAGCCTGGTCATCAGGCATATGAATGCGTTGTCTCCTGTGAGTGTGTTGTCTCCTGTCTAGCCCTCAATGTGTGGAAACATCACCTGCTCCTGAATATGGGACTCCTCAGCACACAGGCTGCATTTGGACACAAGCTTGATTGTACCTTGGAAGAGGTCCAAGGGGAAAGGACCTGGAGTCTAAAACAACATCCCTTCTGCTGTACCCTTGATGGTCCAAGAGCAGAGGAGGTGTGAAGGTGCCAAGGTCCCATGTCAGAGTCTTCTCTAGTCTCCTCTCCCTAACTGAGCAACCCAGCATCCAAGCTGAGGGGAGAGTGGCCCAGATGCAAAGATGTCTGCTTCTAACGAAAACACAACAGAATACTTCATGAATTCAAATTGATTCTCTCTTCATTTAAAATTGTTGCCCCAGTCCCAGAGCAGAAAAGATACCAGCTTGTGTGGGAGAAGATCACACGACTATAAATTTGGCAGAATGAGTTATTGCAAGAACAAAGCATCTTAGGGCCAGAAGTATCCACCAGATAGAGCTCTTTCTTCTGAAGGGGAGACAGAAACAAGGCACAGAAGACCACAGAAGCCCAGCAATCAGGGGAAAGACCAATTCCCAGCAGCCTGAGAGCACTTAAGCAGAGAGCCCCCATCGCCTCAGTCCTGACATGCCCAAATGGATAGTTCCTGCATCTCAGCAAACATGATTCCAGTTCTCCTTAGTGTGGCAACAACAGACTCCTGAAAGTGAATAGGGGAGGAAGTTTTCAGAAGACACATACTGAAGGTAGCATATGCATGTAGATGGAAGAGTTTCTCAAAGTATCAACTGTACGATGATGATTAGTATGATTAAAAGATCATAAAACAGGTGGGCATCATAACTGAATACTTTTCATATGATCTGCTTGACCAGGAGCGAATGAAAATGTATTTGCCATGCCTTTCTTTTGCAAAGAGGTTTTTGAGAAAAAGGAATGAGACAGATGATGTCTTCTGAGACAGCAGTGTGCAAAGACATGAAAGATATAGGGGTTGTATGAGCACAGCTGTGAGCAGGATTTAATGTCATAAATATGAAGGACCTGTTAGATCAGGTTATTCAAAGCTGCGTGTTTCTTGCATGTTACTTTTCATTTAAATATTTGTTGAAAAAAGCCTGTATTTTTGGCCAAGCTTGAACCTGTGCTTTAGAAAAGGCCTTGAGCTCCCCACCCAGGATTGTCCGCTTGAGAAGAACGGGGTGTCTTCCTATAGCATTTAAAGGGAAAAATGGAGGGTCAAAGTAATGTCCTGTGCCAGGGTAGGAGAGAATCTGAAAATTATTCTTCCCTTGAGCCTGCAAGCGTTTGCAGGTTTCAATAGCAAAATGTTCACTCTTAATCAAATTATCATCTTGTCCAGTGATGAACAGTAAATTTGCCTCAATGTTCTCCACTGGAATCAGGCTTTGGTGGCCAGGGACTTGGAAGGGGTCATCAAAGACATCAGAGCAATCAAAAACATTAGATTGATTGACTGTGACACGCTCTTCATGAATGGGCATGGGGGGGATGATTTTATCCTTGTAACAGAGAGGAATAGCTGTAACAACCACTGGACTATTGATGGAAGCAACGGCTGTGATATTCTTCAGGAAAGCAGCCATGGCGAGACACAGTTCTCCTCCTTTGGAGTAGCCGAGCAAGCCAAGCCTTGGTTTCTTCACCTGGTGAAGAGGAAGAAATCCCCATCATTACTGAGCTGGAAAGCACATCAGCTAAATATTACTGGAGGAGACCTTCTATAGCGCTGAGCATTTGTACAACATTGTAAAGCAGAGGATGGCAAGGATCTTTTTTTTTTAGTGCTAGATGAGCTGTAGATACCTCCCACAGACAAACCGCTCCCTGGAATAATAGGGAATCATAGAGATAAAGTGAGGGGCAGTTTGGAGAAGAAACTACTCCTTGGAGCTCAAGGTGCTCCTACCTGTGGATGCTGCAACATGTAGTTCACAGCTTCTTCAAAATATTCCAGATGGAGTTCAGTTGGATTCTGGGGCAGATCCTCATAGTGGTAATATGCCAGGGCCAATGTGGCAAAGCCATGGCTGGCCAGCAGGCTGGCTCTGTGTTCAAAAAGACCTCCTTCAAGTCCATGTATGTCGATGATTCCTGGAAAGGGTGCTTCTCCTGCAGTAGACAAGAGCAAGAGCAGTGTTGCCTGCAATGACCCCTTCAAACATTTCCCCTGTTTAGAATGCACCAAACCAGGTACACATCAGGAACTGCAGAAGAGCTTATCTTGGGGAAGGGACATGACCAGTCACTCAGCTATATTATGTTGGCAGGTGAAAATACAAGAGTGTGTTGCAGATGAAGAAAGACTCAGCAACAAAACCTGCTGGGTAAGATGCGAATCTTTATTTGTGCTGGGATCCGGCAGAATTTCAGCATTGTGTTTGAAGCTAATTGGCAGATATAGTTTGGTGAAAGTGACATCCCAAGTTCTCTTCTTTCCATAAGCAGCTGACAAGAACTATTTAAGATCTTCAATGTAGCATGGCTTAATAGATGTAGTACTGTTCAAATAGCTGCCTGTATGTATTTCTACCTATGAAAGAATGATGCATGGGGTTGACTCAGCCAGCACTTGATGTCTTCAGCAATCACATCTCTAATCAACCTCGAATTCTTCCCACAAGAGCACTAGTGACTCTGTGGGTGATGGGAAGACCACTGCCCAGATCTTTCCTTCTTGCCCCAAGATCCTCGTTCCCTGATCCTGCAGAAAGCACAGTTCATGTGCTCCCAGTGCCAGGGGAGGAGGAAATCATGGACCTCAAAGACATTAGGCTAAGAGAGAAAGGGCTCTGCATGTTGCAGTCCTGTAGCCTGAAGGGTTTGTGGGCTGCAGGGCCCACAAGGAAGAGCTTCATAAGCTTCAGACCAAAGAAGGTGCCCCTGGCCATGTTGGGAAGTAGATGAGACCCAGCTCCCCCTGGCTTCAGGAGAGTCTCTGGCCTGGGAAAGCTCATCCCTTCCACCTTTAGGAATGCCTTTCATTGTGTGCCCCCGACATGAACTCTGGCCCTGGAAAGTGGAGACCCACACATTCTCAAATAAGCTACAGGTGGTAGATGGGAACTTGCTCCCTGGGGTTGAGGAGGAGGGAGAGTGCCCAGTGTCTGCTTGCAGTTTCCAGGTTGGGCTGGGGAGAGCCCAGCCATCCAAAGGGGTGCTGAGCTCTTCTTCCTGCTACTGCCAGGAGGGGGCACCTGCCTGAGCACACAGGCAACAGTAGCTCCACTGCCTCTCCAAAGACCATGACCATTCAAGGCAACGGCTGCGTACCACAGAGGCCAGCAGTTCAGTTGTCTGTGAGTTATGGCTTAGTTGAGTGCAGAAGGTCTGTGGGGCTTACGCTGAAGAGGCACAGAAAAGGACATACCACTGAGTTAGGCTGTGGGGGTGCTCGGGGGAGGTGGGACAGTGTAACAGCAAAAGTACTTTCCTTGGGGCTTTCCACATTTCAATGATCTTTTGGTGAATTGCTGAGTGATATCCAATCCCAACATCTTCTGAATCGGGACCTGTAGAGATGACTGTGCAGAGAACGCTTCCAGGGATGGAAAATCCTGAGTGGGACAACTCGATGCAAGACAATTTGAGCACAGTGAAACGTATCTAGAGCATGTAAAACCAGCCATACCTGTGCACCCTGGCAAAGACATGTCTGCTGAGCTGTCCAGTACGTAAGGTAGCTTGGCAGGGTCTCGGGCAAGTCTCATACCACAGTGCAGAGTGGAAATCCTTTCCAGCAGCAATTCAATATTTGTCTTTTCCTAATGGAAATCCGTTTTCCCTAAGACTGTTACTAGAATGTGTCTCTGCCTCCCCCTTTGCATAGACCAATGTTTGTGGGTGATAAACTCCAACCCGTGGTTCCAAACATGGTAAAACATGTGATCTGTTGCTGTGACAGGGTGATAGGGAAGATCTCCCAAACCTCCCCAGTGATTAGAACAGCTCAGGTTTTTTTCATATAGGGTCTCTGGGCTTGGGGCCAGGTTCAGGACTGCATAGCCGAGAGGTCTCCAGCCCCCTCTCCTTAGCTTCTTGTTCCCAGAGGCCCTCCAGGCACATGCATTTTCCCTTGCCGCAAAGTTCCCCATGTTTTTAAGCTCAGACTCTGGACATTAAGAGTTACTTCTTTGCCAGCTTCTGTGGCCCTGCCCTGGGACCTGAACAGCCAGGTAAATAGGAAGGGAGAGACAGGCAAATTCATGGACTACTTTTGATGGAGGTCAAGGAAGAGCTGGAGCTTTCACTGGCAAAACATCTTATTCCTGGGAAAAGCAGCATGGCCAGGCTAGTACTCACCAGGAGGCAGGAAAAGCGTCGCGCGGATCCTCCCCTCACGCACTGGAACTCGCTGCACTCCATCCTGCAAGAATATCCGCTCGTGCTGGGCCTCGGCCAGGAGCTGCCCCAGTGGTTGCCCATGGCCCTCAAACACCTCGACCAGCAGGCGCAGCGGGGTCTGCACGTCCCGCTTCACCATGCACCAGAAGGGCTTCTGCGGCTGCAGGGCCCAGAGCAGCCCCATGGGCTCGAGGCCGCAGAAGCTGGCGCCCGGCAGCGCGGGGCCG